CAGTGCTCCAGCTTACCATCTTTACCTGAGTAAATCTGTTTGTTGAACAATCTGAATGGTTGATTCAGAAACTTCTGTGACATCAACTTAACTGAGACTCATTACAAATTTCACAAAACACAGTTGAATACTTAGTTACTTAGTTTTTATTAGTTATTTTTGTTTTTGTTGTTACATTAATTTTAATAAAAAAAAAATAAAAAAAATAAATGAATAATATCTTTATTTTATTTTATTATTAATTTATTTGTTTATTTTTTTGTTGTTCCCAGAGAGCAAGCCAAACACCGGTCCTGACTATCTCTAATAGTGGTGCACCACTAGTAGACTTTGTTTTAACCTCCTAGGACCTGGAGTCCATATATGTGGACATTACATTTTGGGTTGTCTAGACCAAAATATAAAATGTTGCTATACAAAGGCCTGATATTCATGTATGAGGACATCATGCTGCCATATGTCCTCATATGTGGATCTCATTTTTCACCAAAATAAAAATCAGGTGAAAAAAAAATCAGGTAATTCTTTGTTTTTACATTCATCAGGTCCCAATCAACCCAAAATGGCACAGAGAAATTAAAAATGCATGCCATTAAAAAGTCCAGGTCTTAGAAGGTGAACAATGTCTCTGCTGATGAGACCGGTGAATGTGGGGCGACGGTGGCAAGAAAAAACTCCCTCCTGGAGGAAGAAATCTTGGGAGGAACCAGGCTCTCTGGGAGGACCCTTCCTCCTAAGGGCAATACTTACCAGCGGTCTGAGATGACGGTTGTTCCTTCTCTGCATGATGATGGCTCTAACTTCATTCCACATCCTGTTTTAGAATGAAGAGAAAAATGATTAACAAGGTGATAGGACATTTCAAAATTCTCTCAGCTGCTGTGTCTTCTTACGTTTCTCTTGTAAAACAGGATGTAGGCAGACTGCTGCTGTTCCTCAAAAACTGCCGATCCAGTTGTGTGGAGCACCTGTGCATCATTATAGGTGAGCCAAGGATCTGATGTAGACTGTGGACTCTCCTCAGGATGCACAGAATTACAGATGTACTGTCCTGAAATCACATTAAGACAAATGAATCCAACTTCTAAAAGTCAACTGATTCAAGCAAACAGTGGTTTGGACTTAGTGCTTCTTAAAACATCAAAAGCTTTTGTGTGTGAGTCCTTCACTCAAAAGTAGCAAGTTCTGTTAAATCATTTTCTGTTTGTAACAAGTCAGTTGTTTTACCTGATTCTGTGCCTCCATAGTGACTAATGATGCTTATGAGTCCATAACGGCCATCACCCTGAGAAGGAACAAATCCAAAGATCAGTTTCATAAAGTCTCACATCAGTGCGATAATTAAGCTGATTCTCTGAGATGTTCTGCAGTCTGTTTTTACCTGTTTGGATGACACCACCAAGTCCCTCTGCAGCCTGACGGGGTCATTCACCTTCTGAAGCTTGTGGGTTTTTGTAAAGCCAAACCTCTTCAGGTGAAAGATGAGAACTCTGGCAGAAAAGAAAAAAAACCCAAGGTACAAAATAAGAAGAATGAGTGTCAAACACAAACCGAAGATGGGGCAAAATGACTGCTCAAGTGTTGTCTTAAAAACTCTGATGTTTAGTGCGCCACAGTTTGGAAATCAGGTCAGTCGATCAATTCTGATGTGACCTTACTCACCTTGGCAGTGTATCAAAAGACGGCTTCACTTCCGAGGTCGTCCCTCCACAGTCACAGGTAAATTC